TTAAAAAAAAAAAAAAAAAAAACAGTGTACTGCTAAAAAATAAAGCTTGACAAAACAAGTCTAACTGTCACCTAAAATGGGGCCGGCACATTCCAAGATGGTGGATGTCAACTCTCAGGTGTGTGTTAGACTAGACACTTCCAGTTCAGCCAGGTGCTACCCCAAGGTCAACCCACACATTGAAGCCAGCAAAGCCCCGTGCCCCAAGCAAAGCATGTCCTTCCCCAGCCTCACCAGGTGTGTGGAGGTAAGATCTGAAGGCCAATGCCCTCTGGAGCCCCTGGCCCAGGCCTGCATTTTGCTCCCTAGTGAGCAGGACCCGACAGGTTTCTCCCAAGAAGCAAGAGGGGCAGGGGTGCTGGCAGAGTTCACACAGTGAAGATGAGAGTGGGGAGAAAGTCCTTCTGAGACAAGGGACGTCTGGGTCAGGGCTGACCAGCCACCGTGCTGGGTGCAGAGTATACACTGGGCTCCAATGCTGCTCTCAACCCTTCCTTCTGGTGCTGCCAGATTAGTTTATGGATTTTTGTCCACACACAGCCTTTCACCGGGCAGACTGCAGGGTCCTCTCACTTGGTGTCCACAGGACAGGCCCTTCATCCAAGGTCACTCAAAAACAGAATGAGCAGCAAAGGGCTTGAGAGGCAAGAGCTTGGGGCCAAGTCTGGTTCTCCCAATGACACAGGGCAAGTATACTGAGCCTCAGTGTCCTCATCTAGTAAGCAAGGACATAACAAGCCATGCTGATGACAGCAGTGCTTCCCACAAAGCTAAGGGCCCGCTGCTCCTTGCATAAAGCATGAAACAGAGCCAAGCTTACTTTTCCATCTCAAGGCAGAGCCCAACAGCAAAGCAGCACAGAGACCAGGAAGGAGCCAGGAGGTGAACCCCAGGCCGCCAGCCTCCTGCTCCCTCCCCAGCCTCCCCCAGCTTCTTTACAGCAGATGACAACTTGAGAAGCAAAGGGCTCAAGAAGTCTGCACCCCACTTGATTTCCAGGAAACATGGAGCCGATCATGCAGGCCTCAGCAACCTCATCAGACAACCAACCGGAAGCCTTCATGGTGGGGGTGTCTGACCAGAGGCTGACTTTTCTGAAAGTAGCATAGGCATGGGGAGGTGCAGAAAAAGAGGTTCTACCACTTGACCCAAACACCAGGGGCTCAGACCCACTGCCTCCCTCCCCCACCAGCTGGGGAACCGTCTCCCCTAAATGGGCCTCCGCTCTGCCCCTGAGAGGCAGGGAAATGGGGCTCACACCTTACCAGAAAAATAAGCCTCCACACAATCACCTCCAGGCCAATGAAATCCCAGGGAGGAGAGGCCACCTCCTCTCCCAACAACCTTGGGCCGCTGCTATCCTCAGGGCGCATGAACCCTCAAGGCTGGCTTCACATGGCTCTCCCTGATTCTGCTACCCATGGGTTACTCCAGACCTTGCCCAGCCCCTGCTCTGAGGCTCTCAGTCCCTTGAGGCAGGCTTAGGGTCTGTGGGGTGACAGCTCCCCAAAGGGTACAGGCCCAGGCTGCGAGGATGGCATCGCTCGGGGATTCCCTGTAACATAGTTGCAGGCAGAGACCTTGTGGGAAGAGCTGGCCCCTACGTGCTGTGCCATGGAAGCCACTAGAAGTAGGAAAGAGCTGGCCTGCACAGAGGTACAGACAGGAGGAAGGACAGCAGTGGGGCAAGCTTAGTCTTTCTAGAACTTTTTCCCAAAGAGGGCCCTGTGCTCAGGAAGTTGGAAGTTACTGTCTTTTTCTCATTTGCTGCCAACCTCTGTCCCCATCCTGTGCCCCCCTCAGCCCAGGCTGGCAGTCTCAGAGCCTCTCTGGCCTAGTGCAAGTCAGTGACTAAGTCCAAAGCTGTCCAGTTAGACAGCTGCCTGGCTATACCCGTGTTCCCTGCTTCTGTCCCTAGCCCCAGCCCCAAATCCCAGTTCCCTGGGCCCCTTCCTCATCTGTACCCACCTAGTCCCCATCACCAGGCCCATCTTTCCTGTGCATCCCCACCCTTGTGACTCTCACCTCTCCCCCCGCACTCCGTGCCCCAACCACATCCTATTTTTCACCTTTGAATATCGAAAGGATCTCCGAAGATGTTCTAAGTGCCATCTCTCTCCCCTGTCAACCAATCTCCACCTCTGTCAGGTTAACTCTCCGCAGTCACGGCTCCAATCAGACTCGACATCCCCTTGTCCAGCTCACCACTCCAGCCTGCACATCACAGGTGCGCCCCACCTCCCTCCCATACAAGCACTGTGTGTCCCACCCAAGCCAAAGGCCTGCATCTCCTCCTGGTCAGGGCCAGGGCCCAGCACACATTTTCAGTAAAACACCAGAGACGACCATTTTAGGCTTTGCAGGACACACAGTCTCTTGCCACAAGCACCACACACAGCTGTCCCTGTAGCTCATCCTCTGGCTAGGTTCCGGGGCACACATGTTATAAAACAGGCAGGGGGCGCTGTAGAACACACGCTTCCTACACTGCGCTGACTCCAAGTGTGGGCTCTTGCTTGCCCCTCCGCCTGGGAGGCCCTTGTGTGCACACGCTCCTACCCTATTCCAGTCTCCACAGTCCACTGTCCTGAGCCTTCCCAGCCTGGAAGCAGGTTTCCCCTTTCCTGAGTCTTCCGTTTCCACCACTCTCAGTTGAAAATGAGGTCTCCCCAGACCTCATTTCATCAGTCTTCTCAGTGCGACAGTCTCCCTCAGAAGCATCTGAGCTGCCTCCAGTCCTTCCTAGTAGTATTAGGACCAGGGTACTGGACCAGCCTCAGTGCCTGGGACAGGTGACACGCAGTAAGACTTTAAACCAAATAAAGGAGCACATGCACCGAAGGGCCACTCTCCGGCCTGTGTGCTGGATGAACCACCCATGCCCACAGCAGAGAGGATGAGGAAGCAGACACACAGGCTGTAGCTGCTAAAGTTGCTTTAGGCCCGAAGTGAGAAGCCCTCTGGTAGCCCCTCCAAACTCATTTCTAAACATCCCGCATGTGATGGGCAGTGTTGATGAAAACGGGTGAAAGTGGCTGGAGGAGCCAAGGATGAATGTCACTAGTACTCCCCAGTCCTAGGAAAGGTGAGTGTCCCACTGATCTGAGCAGCCCTGCGGCCCAGAGCAACCCAAAAGGAAAGTCAGGAATGGAAGGAACAGGTCATGGCCAGCGAAGCCCTGCTGATCGCCGGTCTTCCCTGATCCCCACTGCATCCCCACATCCAGCCACCACCGCAAGACCAAAAGCCTCCTCACCAATCTTCCCACATCTTC